GTTACCGAGGTCCCGACTTGGTGGTGCTTTGCGTGGACTACAGGCCAGACCGTTGCACCTAGCGCGCTGAAATTTGCACAACTTATAGATCAAGGATGCGTGACGTGCCTTTGAGGGGTCTGGGCTCGATCGGATTGATAGGGAGCGCGTGGCGCGTGCCCAAAAAGTGCAAATTCGCGTCATAGACTTTACATGTATAAATCGGCGTGCGAAATCAGGCGAAAACGGCTAATTTTGGCCGACACGGTTCCGGTCCCGGTGCAATATCTTGGTGACCAGGGGTCCGACCGGCACGGGGCAAACAGCATCGTGTAGATAATTGAGCGGGCTGTCGAATGGTGTACGATGCAGTGGATGGCACGTGCCACGTGCACCCGTGAGGATACTTTTATTGGAAAAATTGCGGTTTTTGACGGATTTTGGAATTGATTTTATTTTTAAGTGACCGTTAAACGGAGCGAGTTGAAACAACGCCTATTTGCAAGAGAAATGTACCGCCTCTCATAGAAAAATTGTGAAAAGCTGATTGCTCCAAATCAAGGTGGTACAAATCACGGAAGAAAATGGTGTTTGTCAATTTTGTGCCACTTTATTAATCACACGGGTTTTGCTCAATGATCTGATATCTCTGGCAATTAAAAATGGTACCGTTGGAAAGAGCATTCAATTCTGTCCAAGGCTCAGCCTTCATTTTTGCATGATGATCAACAGTATTCTTAAAAATGTAAATGTTCCAAACCATTACATTGTCATTTTTACCGGAATTCATCGATGGCCCTCAAAAGACTTCACGTCAGTTTTCGAATCATTCTAAAGTAGAACGCATGATAATACGACACGGGCACCTCGATGCGATGTATCTTTTTGTTTTCTTACAAAATGCTTGGCCGTCAAAAAGCAATCGAACGAAATGGATATCTACCAACCAAATCGACACAGACCAACCCAATACCCACGGGTTAAAAAAAAATCCCCCCTTCGCGTTGCGGAGCACGCGAAGGGGGTAGCTCACAGGTCACGTGATCTAAGGTCAACTTTTGACCTTTCGACCTTTCGAGGTCAACATACATATGTTTCGATGCGGATCGACGAGAGGATCACGATGGTGCTATTAGTTTGTTCCTAGCTGGAATACCTTGAAAGTTATTCGAGAAAAACTTCATATATATGTATAGTGCCGCTATTTTGACTTCCTTTTAGCTCCTGTGACGTCATCTTTGACCTGACCTGAAAATGACCTCAGTAAAAATTATAGACCTTATCCGTGTGTACCCTTTACCGTTTACCGCTTGTCGCTATCCTGCTTTATTCTCGAGATGTCGCTGTCGCTCCCGCTCGTAATAATGGACAGGTCATAAAAATGACCTCACCTGAGGCCAACGCAGGGCGATAACCACTTTTTTTATTATTGCATATGAATGACAATTGATAAGGCTTTAATCGTCATCAGACAAAATTGCAACTTTCAGTGGGGAAAATATCAAGGTCACTCTTCGAAAAATAGGACAAAAGGTCACGTGATCAAAATTTTCAAAAATTGAAAATCCGAGATAGCCAAAATGTTTGTTGGTTGATTGTGAGTTGAACCATATAAATTTTTTATCGTAAAAACCAATAGTTTCTGAGTTATAGGCCGCCAAACATAGGGCTGCAGCGCGAACTCCAGGAATTGCCCGAGGCTATATCTCGGAAACCGTTGTTCGAAGAAAAAAATCCCTGCCACAGCTGGCTTCCCCGCCCATCACAACCCATTAGACCAATTTTAAGCAAAAAATAAAATATGAGGGTGCAGGGCACTTGTCGATTTGTCGTGGAACGCCCCACATATTAGCCAAAAGATATAAAATTTCAAAAAGACAAAATACAGTTTCGGGAGCTTTCGGCTTTGCGCCTTTATCAACCGTTATGTATTATTTAGATCATTTTCGTCACAAACTTGCATGGAACAGAAAATTCGAATTGGTACGAACATGCAGAAATCACACACGCACTTCCCAGCTACTCTTTAAAAACGCATCTATGCAAAACTATCTCAGCTAAGTATCCGCACGGGTTTGAACGGGGCACAATACTGTTCAGTGTCGATGTCGTTAACCTATACGGTAACATCCCTATAAATGAGGCCATTGATGCCACGCTGACACTCCTACAACACCACGTAGACCGAGTGGAAACATTTGGTCTGGAGCTGTCCAGCATGCGTAAGCTACTCGAGCACTGTTTGACCAACAATTTCGTTCGCTTTGGTCAGAACTACTTCAGACAGACGCAAGGCATAGCGATGGGCAGCAGGGTGGCCCCCCCGCTAGCGATAGTCTTTATGAACGCCTTAGAGTCCATGTTTCTGTCAGCTAGTCGTCTACAGCCCTCACTGTACGTACGGTATATCGACGACGTGTTCGGAGTCTGGACGCACGGTAGGGACGCCCTCTTCGACTACTTCAATTTCCTAAACACGGTCCATCCCACCATCAAGTTCACCATAGAACACACCGGTGACACTGGAGTATTGGCGTTCCTGGACACAAAAATATCGATCTCTGAGTCAGGTGCATACTCCAGTGAGCTATACATCAAACCGATGGCATCAGCAGTGATAATTCACTACCTTTCAGCTCTGCCAATGTCGACTAAGAAAAACGCCGTCCGCTCACAAACGTTACGTGCTATCAAAATCTCTTCCCCTGGTCTACCACGAGCCCGTAGCCTTAAACTCATTCATGACCTATTCACAAAGAACGGCTACCCGCCCCACTTAGTTAGCAGGCTCCAACACGAAGCCCAACGTGATAACCGCCTAAGGCCGACTAGATCGGGCTCTGCCCCCGTCTATCTTGCGCTTCCATTCATTGATGATGCACTCAGCCACAGGATTGAGGGTATCATTAGGGCTAGTCACCTCAACCTGAAAGTTGCATGGAAAGGAGGTCCCAACCTGAAACAAAAACTAGTGCGGGCGGCCTACCAACCAGCACCCTGCCCAGGTGGGGGCAGGAAGTGTCCATGCTGTGAGGCAGGGTTGCGTGGGAGATGTCATGAAAAGAATGTGGTGTACCAGATGGAATGTCAACTGTGCGCACAAGGCGAGTCTGTGTATGTCGGTGAAACACGCCGATCTGTCAGGCTTAGATATAATGAACACATGAGAGATGCAAAAAACAACAAACTAGACACCCCTTTTGGCCTTCACCAAACGAAACACTCTGTGCAACTGGACTGCTCAAACGTCTCAATCAAGATTCTGCATGTGTCAAAAGACGGCCCAGATAGAAAAATTTGGGAATCCATTTTTATTCGCGAACTTCAACCCACTCTTAACACGCAAACCTCGTCTTGGCCTATCATCTGAGTGGTCATTATATCTAAACTGACTGACCGTGGAAACTTGTGTGCGCGGGTGTGCGCCGTGCGGTTGCGCTGTTGTACACTTCTGTTATCGTATGCATGCATGTACTTACCTCATATATGCTTATCTCCATATTTTTAATGTTGGTCGGGGGGTCGGGTCGGGACCCATTATTGATGATGTACCCACGATATATACTATCTCCGCTGAACGTATGACTCATGTTTTCGACATGACTATCTTGTTCTGCACTTCAAGATAAATCTTTTATGTCTCTGTAGTTTTGCATAGATGCGTTTTTAAAGAGTAGCTGGGAAGTGCGTGTGTGATTTCTGCATGTTCGTACCAATTCGAATTTTCTGTTCCATGCAAGTTTGTGACGAAAATGATCTAAATAATACATAACGGTTGATAAAGGCGCAAAGCCGAAAGCTCCCGAAACTGTATTTTGTCTTTTTGAAATTTTATATCTTTTGGCTAATATGAGAGTAAGGTTAATATCTCTTATTATATTCATAATGTCTCTCAAAACTGTGCTAAAAACCATTCAAGATAAAAATTGGCTCAAGCCAATTTACGGCTCAAGCTCGTAAAAAGAAAATGTGCGAACAAAACCGCACAACTATGTGACCTCAGCACCCTCCAGGGGAAACGGCCACCAGTGACTGGTCAGTTGGGTGCCAGGGACCAGCGGAGTGGAGCGGTGCAGCCATGGTTACTGCGGGAGCTCGCAGGACTGAGGCTCCTGACAGCAGCGGTCTGCAGCTGGTGGGAGCAACCACACCCCGTTGATGGGTGAGACGGGGCATGTCAAGCTATGTGGGCACGTTATACTTTGGCTTCAATGGTGTCTTCACGAGCGGGACTTCTTCGGACGGAAGGTAGCGGTACCCCCTACGCAACAACAGCTCAGACTTCATCCATTCGTCCACAGTACAACGAAACATCTGAACCAATTTTGGAAACGATCTTCATAAGCCAGCGGCCAATATCGCCTAACGGCCCGCGATGTGCAGTGTGCAGCATAAACCGAGCCATATTACGGCATCGATTCAGCTACAGTTCGCGCACTTAGTTATCGCCAAGACTCAATCCATGCCAATGAAGGTCATGTCAACAATGTACTCGTATCAGGGACCCAAAAGTCAAATAATAGCAACTCTAGATTTGCCCCAAATATGACAGTTCAATTGTCTCTGGTTCATCGATTGCTTCTTTTTCCTGATAATGCACTGAGCCACAGATAGCATGATAAACATATAGGGTGCTACAGGTTTATTAGCAGTTACTCAAACTGTCAAATTACTCTCTCATAAAATTGTTTTATGCCTAAATGCCCAAATGCCTGAGACACCACCAGTTATGATCTTGTGCTGGCCCTTTGCCACCTCTGGTTCAAACTGTGATGTGCAGCTACAGGAAAAGAGTCCCTGACAAAAGCAGTGACCTGCAGCCAATTCAGTCATCTCATCTGGTACTTTTGGCCCCTGGATTTAAATGATATAGCTCAGCTTATGCTTGATTAAGTATTTCAACAATCAACAGTGCTTCTTTTCAAACAGGCATCAAATAGAGGAAACATGGATAATTGACAGCCTGAGAATTACATAATGCATTCTCAAATTAGCCAGTTTGATGGTATGGTAGAACTGACCTGCTGCCAGAACTGTGTTGCTGAGCTTGGTTGCGGCAGCCCTGATGTCATTGTCGCTGCTGGAGCGTACCAGCTGCTGCATCAGCTGCAGCAGCTGCTGGCCCTCACCAGACATGATTCTTGGGACAGTAGACCTGTGGTGTGGCAATACATTGAGTCAATAAATAAGCTAATATCCATACAAAATGGGAGGGAGACCATCATTATGGTATGGTGACATTTTTGATTGGTAAATAAATCTTAAAATAAGCACTCAGTTTAAATAGTGCCTGATCTAAGCATAGACAGGGTAACATGAGAAGGCCTTGGTATATTTATAAATATTCCAGAGCGCTGATCAAACATTTGTCAATGTTTCCTCTAATCAGTAAAATCATGCTCAAAATTGGTATAAAACAGGCCCCTTCAAATTGTCAGCTCCTGCCTTACCTTTACACAACTGTAGACTTTCTTGATCGACTACTCAGAAACGTCATGATGAACAGCCATCATATCTTGTTAAAATCATATCGTTCAACTTTTGCTGTGCCTACGTTGACCCATAATTATCTAACAGCGCGCCCCACCCGGCATCCCCGACCATCACCGGCACGAATCTGACAGATCACAACACTCGCCTCCGGCTCGGTAAACAAGCCCGACCTTGAACACGCTGCGTTGATTGGTTGACGGTCGCTGTCGTCATGCGAAGATATCGCCTAAATCGCTGCAAATTAATAAGATTAGCTGAAACAAAGGTATGATAGACTTTTCAGGAGTGTGGGGCTGTTCATAGCATATTGCAATACTGTTTTACTTGATTGTAAAAATAACTTATTAAAATAATCTTTAATATGCCCAACTAGACAGCATCTTTATCTATTCCACAGATCATGACGATGACTTAAATGACAATATTCATTTTGCCTTCCTCTATATCCCTTCCCTGCACATATTTTCATCACCATTCATATCACGAGCTTCATCCTTACCGCCAATAAATCCTAGAAATTGTGCCTCTCGTATCCGGAGCGTTCCTGACCTGGCCGCTGGCCACATATTCAGACGGACATTGCTTCGCAAGTTTCTTGAACGATTTTGATAACCCTCCAAACCCTTTCATTTTGTTTGTTATGCTCTATCAATTGTTAAAAAATATGATAAAACCATTAAAATATGGTTAGATGCCTGGTCGTCAAAAACAAGAAATATTATTCCATTCATAACACAAAATGCACCTATTCCTACATGCAATATGAGTTGTGCCATTGAAACTTGTAGTAATCCAACTCTGCAGGAACATCAATAGATGTTGCCAACATAATTCCCCATAACACTGACAAACAATTGTCTATCACAAACTTGCGATGTATTTAACATTAGTATCAATACCGCATACAATACATGGCAGCATAAAAACAGAATGTTGAAAAGCACCGATTTCAAAGGCCTCGAAATCGCGTGATCAGCCCCTTCCCCCCCCCCCCTGCCTGGATTCACTACAAGAGCGAATCATGCTGACAAAGCATCACAGTACGATGAGGCCGACGCGGTCCTGTCCCTGGGTGCGCTGCGGCTCGGGGTACCAGCGCTGGGAGCGCTCCAGCTCCGCGCGCAGGGTGACCATCAGCACCTCGTCCAGCTCCAGACTCTGGACGGCCAGGTCGGCGCGGTGCTGGCGGGCTTCCTCCTCGTCACAGCTCCTGTAGAGGATTTTCACCGCCGTCCGCGCCCGGCCCGCGGACGGCGGCTCAGCAGAGCTACTGGCACTGAGACCATTCGTGTGAGAAGCGTCATCACTGTTAGTGCTGCTGCCGTTGACACCATTTACACCGCGGGAGCTATCGTCACCAGAAGATGCCGTGCTAGTGTTGTTACCGGTACTGTCACTAGAGACGCCACTGTCGCCGTTACAGGTGACGCCACCATCGCCGTCCTTTCCGGGGCTGATCAGATGCACTGTCAGGCTCGTGTCGATCAGCCACAGCAGTATGTCGTCGTGCCGGGGCGCCGAGGCCAGCAGGCGGGCGGCCGGCGCGTCGCACGAGGCGGCGCCGTGCACGAGCAGTCGGCGCAGCACCTGGTCGGGCGCCAGCCGCAGCTCCTCCTCTCCCCCGCAGCTCCAGGTGAGCCGGTGGTGCCAGAGCCGCGAGCCGAACTCCACCTTCTCGCCCAGCGGCGCGGCGCACTCGGCGCAGCTCAGTCGGCTATCGGCCGCCGCGCAGCGCACCTCCTCCGCCGACAGCACCACGTGAGAGGCCGCGTAGAAACAGTCGCCGGGCCGCGCGCGCACCCGCTCGTGCATGTCGCGGTCGGCCCCGTCACCGTGGCAGAACACGTTACCGAGCATCTCGCGCCAGTTCTCTGAGGGGAGTGGTAGCGCGCGCCGGAACCGCGTGTCCACGGCGGTGGCGCCGCACTGCCGGCAGACGGCGCGGTACCGGGCGGGCACCACGGGCCGCCAGAGCGGCGGCGGCGCCGGCGGCTCGGCGACCGGCGTCAGCACCTCGGCGGCCGCGCTGCCACACCGCTGGTCGGGCTCGAGCGTGGCGCGCAGCGTGGCGTACCGTCCGGCGGGCGCCACGCCGCCGCTGAGCGCCGCCAGCCGGCAGGCGGCCTGCACCGGCTCCGTGTAGACGCGGCCGCGGTACTCGAGGGTCAGCTCCAGGCCGCCGCGGTCGCCGCGCGTCTGCACCGACAGTACGCGGAACGTGGGGTCCTCGGTGTCCACGGAGAGCCGCAGGAAGCAGTAGGCGCTGCGCAGCCGCGGCCGCACCTCCAGCAGCGCGTGCTCCAGCAGACCGCCGGCGCACGTCTCCTGGCGCCGCTGCTTGCTGCTCGGAGACGGCATCTCGCAGCTACTGGAGATACTGAGCCTGAAAATAAACATCAAAAACATGTGCCATGATGATAACTACTAATAAGCAATGAAAATCATAGGCGTGCTTTTTTATTTCTTATTAAATAAATTTAGTCCGAACCTTTTGATTGGGAGGATTCACAAGGGCAGAGCCCCCGCTAAGCGAAGCTTGTTGCGTTGACCCTGCCCTCTACCCTCCGATCGCGCAATTCCAATTCTATGGCAGAATTTAATTTAGAGCCCAAAGTTTAACGTGCGCACATAGCCGCGCACGGCCGGTCCCCTCACTGACTTCGCCTGGCTATGGCCTGCCACCAACCGCAACCAGGAGGCCCATAAGCGGCCTCAGGAGGCCCATAAACGTCAAGCGCCCGTCGCGCTTCGAACCCAGACCGTTTTAACCGAGAATGCGTGCTGCAGAGTCCAATGCTTCACTGACTGAGCTACGGGACCAGCAAATTTCTTTCTGAATTCTGCTTATCATTTTTTTCTACAATTACTTTTAAATATGAGGCTTGTGTTGTTTATATTACTTTTTATATTACTTTGTAGTGCAATTTGCATTACACTTTGATAAAGCTAAATAAGTTTGAATCCTTAATTATTGGTACATAGAAGAGAATGCAATTTTAATTATGAGAACTGGAATGAACACAACACTTTTCAGATGTAGGTACCACGGTTTGCCTACAGCCCATTACAACTGAGGGTTTTGAGCTTGGTGTGAAATTAGTGGATTTTTACAGGAAAAATGCTTTGAATGGGTTCCGACAAATTCTGAGAAATACACTCATTCACATTTAATGCTTGACAGCAATGAAAAGCATAAAATGACCAGTGACCTGTTGGTGTTGTATCTACAGATAATGATTCCAAGATGAAGTTTCAAACATGCAAGGATTATTGCAAATATGTAAATCAGCATGACCAACTAGATTTTATTTACACTTACATGCAAGCACATACAGATCTTAACTAGCTCAAAGTTAATTAGCAGTCAACATTAAAGCACACAACTAAAAAAAATTGTACAGTTTTGAGTTTACGCTGCAAACTGATCAAATATTCCATCAAATATTATTAATTAGTGATGGCTTGAAATATCCTGGATACTTCATCCCAATTCAAATTCAGCCATACTAAAACCAAAGAATACAAAGAGAAGTTTTAGAGCACAATAATTTGATTTGGCCAAAAAAGAACATGAGATGCCTCATTGTCATGGCTCATGTTTGTGGTGGATTCCGGATCAGGATTGGTGTCATACTGCCTTGATTGGACTGTACTTTGTACGTCGGACTTTGCACATTGTGCGTTTTACTGTACTTCAAAATGTACTTTGTTGATGTGCCCCAAATTTTACCATACCTTTATCACGATCAATTATCTAAAACAAATAACAATTTGAAGATCAACAGAAAGCCGCATTTCAAAACACACGTTTGCTTGCTTGCTGGGTTAGGACGCGCAGCCTCGAGACCCAGGCGTCCACGTGTAGCGGCTTCTTCCGCCAGAGATGACTCATGTGCGCCATGGATGTAGCGATTTTGTGCTACCATATATTTCTATTTGTGCTGCCATATCCCTCACCTGCACATGGGGGGGGGGGGGTTACTAAAGGAATCTTGCGGTTCCCTCCCCCCAGGTAGTTTTTCTGCTCTGCACTCAACATTTTTAGAGGTAGAAACCTGATTTTTCGTATAGCTGCTCCTCTATCCTTTCTTGATGTCCACTGAAAATTTCAAGTTTCTGTGGTTTTTGTTTTTTCAGGTCATGTCCTGACCCAAATGACCAATTCTCGACATCTTGCGGCGTTGGCTATGGGCCTTGTGAGCTTTTGACGCCTTGATTTCGGCCTTTTTTGCCAGCCTATCATGGAACATTGTCGCACAGCCTTGCTCCATCCTGCACCCTCACAGTTTACACTAATTGAAACCTTGCAAAATCCTATTCGTTACGCTCATCGTGTGACGGACGGGCGGCCCGGCCCGCACGCATGTACAATAATAAAGTTGATTGACGCTGCGCTTTGCAGTGCCCAGCCGGCCGCCCTGCGTCCTACATTCACGCGTGTCGGTCAGCGTCCCAGTTTCGTACACGTGTGTTTCATCGTATATAAAGTCCTGTATCTGACGCCAATACAATCCAGTTCACCAGCAGACGTCTTTGCTGAAGGTAAGGGCTAAAGGCCCCGCTGACATTTGGTGGCAGCGGTGGCTGGGGTAGGTATCTATTACCCCCACCCCCCAACCCGGACCCATGTCCCGTTGTGTATAGTCAAATTCTAGGTAGAAAGGTCTTAAACTCTGTAATTTTTGTCGTATAGAAATCTCTCTTCTCATATTTGGTTTAATACTTAAAGGATCTCTCTCTGGTTCCACCATGCCGGTCGATCATACCCAACAAGTTTCTAGCCTTAACATTCACCAAATTTCGACATTCATACCAATTTATGACGGTTCATTCCCGATTCAAGATTTTTTGCAAGAAGTCCGTGACGCTAAAACCATGGGTTCCTGGCCCGACAGCGTCACCCTCAAAGTAGCTAAAACAAAACTGGACAGTAAAGTGGCCGAACTGGTCCGAAACCGTCATGACTTGAATCATGCTCCCACCTTTGAAGAATTCGCTACTCGCCTGACATCCGCGATCAACTCTGATCGCCCCGTATCATCCCGTTTACAAGATCTAATGACTTGCACACAACATCCGCAAGAGTCAGTCGATGCGTATGCATTCCGACTCAGAAACAAAACCAAATGTTTGACCGAATGGGACGCCACCCCCGAAACCAAACAGCTAAAAAACAGAACCGCAGCAGCAGCTTTCGTCAAAGGCTTAAAACCAAGCCTACGTCAGCTGGTCTTGCCACAAAACCCATCCGATTTTGATGCCGCCATAGCTTTGGCAAGAACCCAAGAATTAAATTGTGTGTTCCTTCCATCTTCGGACACATCTGCTACACATTCTGTGTCGGCCACGGAGTTAAACTCGGACGTGGTTCAGCAGTTGCAGCACCGTGTGGCCAGCCTCGAGCTCGCCGCCTCCCAAACCCCTCAGCGTGGGAGAGGACGACAGCCCTTCCGGCGAAACTTTCGCCAGCGTGGGTCGTTTCCCAATCGTGGCCGTGGCTATTCAACGCCACCGTCATATACTCACCAGCGAAACGCATACCCAGCTCGCCAAAGTCATTCTTCCTATCGTCCTCCCTCGCATTTACAGCACCAACAATGCTGTTCAGATCACTGTCACTCATCGAGGGACCGCTATGATCGTTATCGCCGCTCATCAAGGTCTCACTCTCGGGACCGACGGCACCGATCTTATTCAAGGTCGCAATCCCGATCTCCGGATCGGAGGGGATCGAGTCACTCCCGACGGAGTCCATCCCCAAACGGCAACCGCTCGCGACGCTAAAATGGGACTACAGCGTTCGCGAGCGTGGCAGCCGATAATTCAGGTACACGCCCTCGTCCACCAATCCTGGAAATCTCTGTTAAGGACCAACCTGGTTCAGCCTTGTACGACACCGGATCCAGCATTTGTCTAATCAGTCACAAGTTTTTCCAGTCGTGCAGCATTTCGAGTCCTCTGGAGAAGTCGTCATTATCTATTTTAGGAGTTACCGGTACCCCAATTCAGATTTTAGGTCATTGTCAAATACCCATCCACGTGTCTGACCGTACTATTCAGCATACTGTTTATGTGACCGATAAGTCACTTTCCTTCGGTTGCGACATCATTCTCGGCATAGATTTCATCATCCGCCACCAGCTACTGTTCAATCCGGACACAAAAAGTGTGTCCTTCCTGCAGCCTAGCGCCGCAACATCCACCCAGCGACAGACGCCGCAACGGCTCAGCCCGAGGCGACGAAAACGTGTCCGCTTCTTACTTGGCACCACTGACTCACCGCGCGACATTGATAACCCGTTGATCTCTTACGACGAAAACGATGCTTTCACTATCGATGAAGGGAAAAATCACCCTTTATTTTTGTTCAGATCAGTCGAAATTCCAGCCTTTTCAGAAATGTTCGTTCAAATGAAATTACCGCGCTACTTGGTACCCTCTGAGGCCCCATACTTCATCCAGGGTCACGTCGATCAATCAACAGCAGGTATACAGGTCGCTCGCTCAATAGCGTTCTTGACCAAGTCGTACGTTTTAGTTCGTGTAGCAAACGTTACGGCTCGTCCAATTCTACTTCGGAAGAACTTGCGCATAGCGCAGCTCAACCCTGCTGCTCCCAAATCAGAAACTGACAGGAAAGATGAAAACTCGTCAGGACAAACTTATTCAGCATCCACTCAACCTGACAAAGATGACAAAGTGTCTCCAAACGACTTTCAGCTCGATCACATCCCAGAGCCATACCGATCGCAACTGCGCGATATGCTCATGAAACATGTCGGTACGTTTGGTAATACGTTAGATGATATCAAAATCACAAATGTGTATGAACATCACATTGAACTCTCAGATCCAACCCCTGCGTACAAAAACCCGTATCGACTCCCGTTTGCCCATCGCGATATAGTTAAGTCTGAAATCGACAAGCTACTTGCTAGTGGTATCATAGAACCCGCTGTTTCACCGTACAATGCACCCATCATTTTAGTCAAAAAGTCATCAGGTGGTTACCGCCTTGTTTCTGATCTCCGTGTTCTCAACGAAAAGATCAAAGATGATAGGTATCCCAATTCATTTGCTTCTGACGCAATTGATCAACTTTCTGGTTGTACTGTTTTCTCGACACTGGATTTGCTTAGCTCATTTCACCAAGTCCCTCTCTCGAAGTCGTCGAGACCATATACCGCATTCACAGCCAACAACCAGCATTTCCAATATGCCTCTGTACCTTTTGGATTGAAATCAGCTTCCGCCGCACTGAATCGTGCGTTGCAAATAAATTGCTCTCTCTGGTTTACAAGGTATCGATGCATTTCTTTACGTCGATGACATTCTGATTGCTAGTAGAAGTTACAATGACCATTTAGAAAAGCTTGATAGAGTTCTCACCCGACTCGAAGAAACTAGATTCGTCCTACGTCCATCTAAGTGTTCGTTCATGCAACGTCAGATTAAATACCTAGGTCACATTGTGGATGAGCATGGCGTACGTCCAGACCCATCCAAAATTCAAGCGATTCGAGACTTCCCCAGACCAAGTTCAGTCAAAGAAATTCGTTCATTTATAGGATTCGCGAATTACTACCGTCGTCACATCCCGCGAATGTCTCAATTAGCTGCGCCCCTGATCGCTCTGACAAAGAAAGATGTTGAATTTATATGGTCTGAAGAATGTGAAAATGGATTCCAATCCATCAAAGATGCGTTAGTTCATTACCCAGTTCTTAGATTTCCAGATTTTACAAAAGATTTTTACTTGTCTACTGATGCTAGTGATTTTGCGATCTCCGCTGTTTTGGAACAACAGCACGGTGAAGAACTTCATCCCGTAGCATTCATCAGCCGACAGCTGAACAAAGCAGAACGAAATTATTCAACTACTGAAAAAGAATGTTTAGCCATCTATTGGGCATTTGACAGCCTTCGTTGTTACCTTGTAGGTCATTTTACACATGTCATCACCGACCACCTCCCTCTACGAGGTGTGTTCCAAGCTACCAACCCAGGTGGCCGTCTGACCAGATGGTCACTCAAACTTTCCGGTTATGACTTTGATGTTACGTATTTACCTGGTCGTCTGAACGTGAAACCTGACGTTCTGTCTCGCGTTAAAATTGATTCCCAGTCAAAGGATACTTTCCTAGGGTTTGTTTCTGCCACTTCGTTTGAACATGAAGGTTGGACAAGAGAAAAGATAAAAGCCGAGCAACGAAAAGATCCCAACCTCATTCCCATTATCAACCAGTTATCTGGCCATTCAACTGCTCGCATGGATTTACAGCTTCATGAGCCATTGTCAAATTACTTCCTCAGCTCAGACGGCTTGCTTTATCATGTCTCATCTCAAAATAGCAAGACCCGTCCTTTTGTCGATCAACTTGTAGTACCAGAACCAATGAAAAAGACAATCGTACAACAATATCATGATACTCTATGGTCTGGTCACCTCAAGTTGGACAAAACTGTTCAAAAAATTCGTTTGTTGTTCTTCTGGAAACATATGTACACAGACGTACAGAAATACGTCAACTCATGTCAGCAGTGTATGGAACGCAACGCTCACAAAACCATCAAAAAAGCACCACTACAACGAACGCTCACACCAGCATATCCAATGCATATTTCGTCTTTTGACATTGTAGGTCCCCTCAAAACTTCGTATCGTGGAAACACCCATTACCTTAGCTGGATTGATCATTTTAGTCGATTTCCGGAAGCAATTCCTTTAGCCGAAACCACGACCGAAGCTGTCGCAAAAGCATTTGTTGAAAACATCATTTCAAGGTACGGCATCAGTAAAATTCTTCTTAGTGATCGTGGATCCAATTTCACTTCAAAACTCATGCAATCCATTTGTAAGC